CCAGAGCCTGACAATCTAGAGGATGAGGCAGGAATCATATTCTACCAAGGATATGTGAAGAGAATGGTGACTACTCACTGTCTACACCGCAGTCTCCATCCGCAGTGCATGGACTGTTATCATCCTGAGCCTTGCTGATGTCACAGAGCAGGGTGACATGAGAATGATCATGATAATTCAAGAGCCTTGGGGAGGTGGATCTAAAAGAGCCCTCTGAGAACCAACACCAGGACTGTCCCACACTTCCCTCAAATCATTCTTACCCATTAGGGCTTGAAGGAGATAAAGAATGAGGTTCTTTAAGTCAATCCATGGGGGTCTTGAGTCCTGTCGCAGCACATCTAGGATCACAGCACCTGGGCCATCCATATGCCCCAACTGATCCAATTCCAGCTAGAGGAGACAGGTGTTCTCTTAATAACAGCGTTCCCAGTTATGTGGACTGGATGGCTTTATACATGCTGAACAAGTCCTCTACCATGAAGTGCAGCCTGGTTCCTTTTTCCCTTTATTTTTCTCTTTTGTGTGACAGGGTCTCAGGCTGTTGCCCATGCCAGCTTTGAACTCACTATGTAGCCCAGAAAGGCCTTGAACTTGTAACTCTTCTGCAAGTAGCTTCAGCTTCCCATATCTGACTCAAAACCATTGTTGTGTAATGTTCCTGTGTCCACTGGAGTTGAGCAAGGTGTGGGCTATAGGTTCTGCCTCCCCCAGGGGCATCCTGAGCAGATTTCAGGGGCCACACTCTCTAGCTCTCATCATAGTGCATGGATCCAGATTCCCCAATCTTTGACATCTTTCTCAGTCTCCTGGGCATCATGTGCATCCCTGCTCCCTCATGTATCTTGGCACCCCCATCACCCAAACTGACCCTTCGGCTTCATCATCTCTAGGCAGCTATGGAATTCTCACCATGTTCATCAGGTCATACAGAATCTTCCTGTCACTGAGCATGGGCAGGAGGCTAGAGAACATGACATCTTGAACATCCTTTGAAAGCATGGACAGTTCCCCTGTTTTCCTGGAAACCTCATCTTGTAGGCAATTGAAATCTGCTCATAGACAGCAACAGCAATCAGAGAGTGAGAGAAATTCTTCATTAAATATCCCTGGGATGCTAAGCCCTTCCCAATCAGTACCATTTCCAGTGGTTAAAAGTGTCTCCATTGATACCTGACTGAGCCCATGAGGCAACTATCATAAAGGTAGAAAGAACTGCAGAGCAGGCAGTGTCAGCACTCTGGAAGGAAAGGACACAGTACTGGGAGTAGAGATGAAAATTCTGAAAACTAGTGTCACAAGTGGGAGAAAAATGACCACGTGTTCATGTCTGGGATAGGTCAAGAAGGAAATATAGTGTTAAACTTCAGAGATGACAGTCCTCCATGTTTCAGGATCAGTTTCCATGTGTGATAAATGGGGACAAGGTAAGGAGTCAATGAGTATGTGTTTGTCAGCACCTGGCATGTAAGAGCTACCCTTAGGAATAAGTATCTCCATCATCTATGAAGAACTAGCCCAGCATGCATTGGAGGATATTCTGGTTCTGCCAAGTGTCCTACGGGGGATCCGTGAGTGTGAGAGGATGCCATAGGGGAAGCTCCAAAGACATGGGCACTTTCATCCAATCATCTCACATTACCCATGCTGGAGTAATGCCTGCTTCCTACGAAGTCTTCATTGAACATTAGTGCATCCAGTTGCACATGTGTGAGTTGAACTAACTAAAAATGTGAAAGTAGACCTCAGTTTTCTGAGCTCCAAAGAAAGTTCTCATTTGAGTTCCAAGCCTGTGGTTTTCTGATAGAAGCCCAGATTTCCTTAAAACAAACAAAACAAAACACTCACCTAGATGGAAGGGTTCCTCTATCCTTCCTAGAAAGAGAAGCACAAGCTTTCTTCATGCTCACTTTGCTCAGGACACACACCCTGTGTCTCTCCTGCCATCTCCTCCTGCCCCATTCCCAGTCTATGGTTCCTCCACACCAGCCTTCCATGATCTTTCCCATCCCACAGGAACCAGAGCCAGGGCTAGGACTGAGCACAGGAGCATCACCCAGATCTCCACAACAACCCCACCAGACACATACTCACCAATTGGAGAGATGTAATTTATCGTCCTGACTAGAAAGAGAAAAAACATTGCCCACCCAGGAATTAGTATTCATATTAGTATTACTTCCCCTGTGTCCCAGACATTTCTCTATCCTCTACCCCCTTCCCTGTGCAGAAGACCAGATCCCAGGCCTTGGGCAAAGAAAATCAGGTGGGGTTTTGTTATTCAGTTGTCAACATGAGGGAACAGGTCTGAATCTCACAGCCCCAGAATGCTTCACTCACCTAGATGTCCTCCAGAACGTGGCACTGGAGAGAGAAAGAGAAGGATTCACTCACCAAGACTCACCCTCTGCACCCCTCCCCTTACCTCAGACTTCTCCAATGCCTCCATCCACCCTTGTTTTTCACCTTGGAATTCTACTCTTATGGGAAATTTCCTATGATAATGCATCCCCAGGTAGATCCTGTCCAACAAAGACATACCTATCTCAAATATTTCCTCAGATGATTTGCAACTCCATTCTAAGTCAGCGAGGGCACTTTTCAACCTAGGACGCATATAAAGCATACCTAGAAAGGTTTTCTTCTTAGCTTTAGCAGAAAGGAGAATGGCTGAATGGAAAAGAAACCCAGTTAGGAGAGATGCAGTTACACTGGCTACAGCAGTTCCCACACCCCAATTTGGGACGCTCAGGTCAAACCCCAAGGATGATGTCAACCTAAGCACTAGCCTCTGTGACCTGTGAATCAGATCCTTTCACAGGTGCCCTGAAACTTGCATTTTATTCAATCGAATTATGTTGGTTTGTTTCTTTAGTGTGTGCATGCATGCCACAGAGCACATACAGAGGTCAGAGGAAAACTCTGGAAGTCAGTTATCTACTTACAACATGTGGGACCTGGAGGTGGAACTCAAGGCATCAGGCCTGGCAACAAGCACCTTTACCAGCCAATCCATCTCACCAGCCTGAAACTTGCATTTTAAATAAGTACTTTAGGCGACCACCACGCCCTCTGACATTCAAGAATTACCCCATGAGGGCTGGAGAGCAAGATCAGTGCTGCTCTTACAAAGGACGGCACCCAAGTGTCAGCGCCCACTTCTGGCCTTTTGAGGCATTGCATGTACATGGTTCCCTTACATGCAGGCAAAACACAACTACCCATAAAATAGAAATTCACAAATAAATACTCCGTGAGTTAAAGCACATGGGCTTCTGCTGCCCTGTCACATAGGTTTCTTGTTAGCCTTAAGTTACTACCTGGCCCTTCCTTATCCACTCTCTATCTGGCAATCTTGCATTGTTTTGTATTTTATCCATACAGATATGCTGAGGTCTGAAACTTGTATACAAACACAGTTCAAGCATTTGACACATGAAATGAGCCAGGGGAGAAAAATGACAGCATTTAACATGGGAACTAAACAAACAAAAAAAAGCAAACTTCTGAGAGTGTCTTCAAGTCACATTCTGAGCAGTAGGGGGCCAGCAGGGCATCTTGTTTACACAATCAGGCACCAAGGAGGACAATGTGCTGATTGGCTAGTACAATTTTAGTTCTCATAATAGACCAAAAAGAAATAATTGCCATATCACTGGCCAGCAGGTTCAGAGAAAACTGGCCTTCTCATGTGTAAACAGCCCCAACCTGTCTTGACTCCTTGGGTTCACCAAGCTCTTTGCCTGACCTGACAACACTCTCTGCACCTTCAGGAACCCTCACCCCAGAATCCTCTCCCATGATCACCTCCTCTCTCACACTTCCCCCCTCTAGTCAGCTTCCCTAAAGCCCTCTACATGTGACATCATTTCTCTCCTTCCATGCAGGACCTTGACTGGCTAGAGATGGATGACTAGAGATGCCTGGGATTAGGCCTGGACTTCAAACTGCTACAGACACCTCCATTTGAGCACCCCAAGTTGGATCCCTTCCCACACAAGAGGCTATAGCTACAGCTAACAGTATTAGAGCTTGGCCATGCTCAGACGTGGCTAAGGATGGTGGGACATGTGCCTGGGACAGTCAGCAGTGTTCCTCCTAGTCCATCGTCAGGAGAGAAGAGGAGGTTCAGGTCTTTGGACAACCCACCCCCACTTGGCCCCCACGTCTGCTCACCACAAGTGTTATTCTCAATGACCAATTGCTTCTTCTTGTAGGCCACCACTGAACCCTTTGGGATAGCCACAGATTCCGTTCTCTCCCTTTGCCACTCTCCCTTGGCTTCACCCTGGGGAGACAAAACATTCCTGGGGGTTATAGCTCCTTGTCTTATAAAAATTATGTTTACTTTTAATCAAGGCAACATATGCCTGTAATTTAAAAGTCAAATAAACCTAGAAAGCTCATGAGAAAATGCTAACAGTCTCTAACTTCCCTTCCTCCTGGTCCCCATGTCCAGTTACTGCTTATCCCCCTTGTATGACAATGTTTACCTACATTGAGATTTGGGAGGAGGTGTCCCTGGAGAGGCCTGGCAACTGAACCCAGAGCACCATAAATGCCAGGCTGGTATTAACCACTGAGCCATACAACCTGTTTGTGATATTTTGATTGTGTTCTGACAAACAAAGCTTGCCTGGAGATCAGAAGGCAGAGCTAGCCACCAGTTAACAATAAAGGCCAGGCAATGGTGGCACACACATTTAATCCCAGCACTTGAGAGGAGGAAGCAGGAAGATGCAAAGTTCAATGCCACCCTGGGCTACTCCAGATTGAACCAGTCTGAAACAGAAATAGAGCTCCGTGGTGGTGCACACCTTTAGACCCAGCACTAAGAAGATGGAGACAGGAATATAAGGCGCGTGGAGAACAATATATGAGTCCCATTTGGTCTGAGGATTTGTGGAGGTAAGAAATCTCTATTGGCTGCTGCTCTGCTTCTCTGACTTTCTAGCTTTTACCCTCTATATCTGACTCTTGGTTTTTATTATAAGACTAATTAGGATCCAATTTCAACAGGTGACCCTATTACAATATCATTTTTTCCAAAGTAGGTATTGATTTACTGTCTCCCTATGAGTTGAGGGTTTCATTCTTCTACTTGGCTCTCAGTGTTTACTGCTCCACCTATATTCACATCTGGGTTTCTGTGTAGGTGCATACTCTCTGCCAGCTATTGGGTGAGTTTGCTTCTTCTCATTTCAGATCTTGTCTCTATCAGGCAGTGTGATGTCTTCTATCTTTTCTGTCCTGTTACTGTTTATCTTCTGAGGAGCTGAGAGGTACATGCCTGAGAACTTGGATACCTAAAGACATCTTTAACTTGCATTTCATGTACATTTTGAAGGAATGTAGTTCTAAGCTAGAATCATTTTGAATTTAAATTGTTTTCCATTTTAATGTGCAATTTCTTTTTCTTAAATATTGTTTAATGTTTGAGAATTTCATATATATGTATGTATGTATATTTGTATATATAATGTATTCTGGTCAAACCCACACACTTCATTAACTCACTTCCAACTCCTCGCTTATCCCATCCCCATCACTTGTCCCACCCAACTTCCTGTGCTCTTTTTGTATTTTAATTTTTATTAAACCCATGGAGCCCCCTTAGTGCTGCCAGAACATGCCTGAGTGTAGGACCATCTACTGGAACACAGAAACCTTTCAGAGCCTGAGATAGGACATTTAGCACTTGCCATTCTGGGTCTGGGTTATCTCATTCAGGATTATTATTTCCAGCTACCTCCATTTTCCTGAAGTTCCATAATTTCATATAAATAAAAAATTTCACATGAATAAAATTCCACTGTATGTGTGCACCAGATTTTGAATTCTTCATCATCAGTTGATGGACAGCTAAGCTCTTTCCATTTCCTCGCTACTATGACTAGATCAGCAATGAACATGTATTAACAAGTATCTGTGATCCCACAGAGTCCTTTGGGTGTATATGTCCAGGAGTGCTGTAATTGAAGCACATGGTACATCTACTTCCAGTTTGTTTGTGTGTCATTTACTCTATTATATCTGTGCTTATTGTTTCAACTGGATAATCTGCCCTTTGGTAAAACTGAGATACTAAAGTCACCTACCATTGGGGTTAATCTACTGCTTTACATAAAGAAGAATTTGCTTTATGAAGCTGTGTGTATCCATGTTTGTTGCAAATATGTGTAGAATTGCAATGTCTTCTTGATAAAATGATCTCTTGATCAGTGTGGAGTGACATGCTTTCTTCTGATTATTTTTAGATTGATTTCTATTCATTGGATTTTACTGTAGCATTTCCTGTTAGTCTACTTCCCTTTGCTCTGAATATCTCTGCCCAACCTTCACTCTAAGATAGTTTCCATCTTTGGTGGTTGATTATGTTCCTTGAGACAGCAAAACAGATCCTGTATCTTAATCCAGTCTGCTAGTCTATGTCTTTTAATAGGGAGCTGAAACCACTAATGTTCAAAGGTTATTGATTCTGTCATTTTGTTCATTTTTATGATGTTTGTTGTCTTTTGTTTAATCATGACCTAACACTATTAATTTTTGCTCTCACTGCCTGGATATTCTTATCCCTTTCTTCAAGCAGAAATATTCTTTTTAGTTTCCCCTGTAGGGCTGGCCTGTCGGTCATAAGTTCCTTTCACATGCTTATTGTGGAAAGGTTTTATTTGTCCTTTGACTATAGCTGACAGTTTTGCTGGGTATAGTTGTCCAGGCTGACTTTATTCTTTTAGGACTTGCAGAATATTATTTTGATGAACACTCAAACATGTTCTGGCAGCACTAAGGGGACTCCATGGGTTTAATAAAAATTAAAATACAAACAGAACACAGGAAGTTAGGAGGGAAAAGTGATGGGGATGGGATAAGGGAGGAGTTGGGATTGAGTTAATGAGGTGTGTGGGTTTGACCAGAATACATTATACATACAAATATATAGTCATGAAATTCTCAAATGTTAAACAATATTTAATACGTGATTTGGTCTTTCTCTCTTACAGTTTTCTATACTTCCTTTGTTCTGTACATTTAGTGTTTCAACTTTTACATGATGTGGAGAGCTTCTTTTCTCATTCTATCTGGCTAGTATTCTACATGCCTCTTGCATCTCAACGGGCATCTCTTTCCTTAGATTTGGGACATTTTCTTCCATGATTTTGTCAAAGATATCTTCTGTGCCTTTGTCCTGGGTCTCTTCTCCTTCTTTTATACCTATGATTTATAGATTTGGTTTTTTTTTATAGTGTCCCAGAGTTGCTGCATGTTATTTATGCTAGGACACAAGCTAGAGTCATCAGAGGAAGGAGCCTCAGCTGAGAAAATGCCTCCTGGAGATCCAACTGTAAGGCATTTTCTCACTTAGTGATCAATGAGGGAGGGCCCAGCCAGTAGTGGGTGATGCCATCCCAGGGCTGCTGATCCTGGGTTCTATAAGAAGGTGGGCTGAGCAAGTCATGAGAAGCAAGCCAGTAAGTAGCTTCCCTCGATGGCCTCTGCATCAGCTCCTGCCTCTAGTATCCTGTCCTGTTTGGGTTCCTGTCCTGACTTCCTTCAGTGATGAACAGCAATGCTGAAATGTAAGCCCAATAAACACTTCATCCCTAACTTGATTTTTGGTCATGGTGTTTTGTAGCAGTAACAGAAGCCCTAACTAAGACATTATGTTTATGGGGTCTTTCATCAGCTGTGATTAATCAAATTCCTCTTCCTTGACTTCAAGCTCTTCCACTTGATCCATTCTATTGCTGAGACTTTCCGCTAAGCTTCTTAACTTCCTGGGTTTTTTTCATTTCAATTTGGGTTTTCTTTAAAAATTCTCTTTATCAAATTCCTTATTTCAATCAACTGGTTTTTTTGAGGCACTTGACATATTTATAATTGATGTTTGAAATTATTGTGTGTCATCTAAAGTTGCTTTTTCCTCGAAATATTACTGAAGAAGTACAAGTTTTTCAAGGAGACGCATTATTGGGATTTTGAATTGCGGGGGCTTGGAGAGGGGGTTATTTTGTTTTGTTTTGTGGGTTTTGTGTATGTGTGTGTGTGTGTGTTTGTGTGTGTGTGTGCCTGTGTGTGTGTGTGTGTGTGTGTGTGTGTGTGTTGTTTATGTTTTTGCAGTTGGTCCTAGGCAACTGGAGTTAGGTTGCTGGTAGTGCTTTTAGTATGGCTATCTGTCAATATGCATATTTGTTTGTTGTATTGGCATTTTTGCCAATTTTGCCAATTTGCTATTAACCCAATTGTCAGTTTTTGAACCACCTGAATGATGCTTAAGATTCAGTCTTTGGACCACTTGGTGTTGATGTGAAACTAGAGTATCAGAAGCGGTCCTAGCTCCGCTAGAGCTGGGTGCAGCTTCTGAACACAGGAACAAACCTTCCAGAGAGTTAGCGGGGACTCACTGCAGACACTCGGAAGTCTGTGGAAGGCTTCCATGGTTTCTATGGGGTCCTTAGGTGTCAGGAGCTGGAGTCAATGGAGGTCTCATGCTCCAGTGGACAGTTGTACAACCATGCTCACACAGAGTTCTCAAACTCAGTGGGTCATAGAACAAAACAAAAGACTTGAATAGGGGAAGGGAACTAAAAGGTCAAGGAGGGTGGGTTGCTGAGTGTGGCAGGAAGGTAAGAGAGACCAGGGCAAGAGTAATCAGAATGAATAATATACATCTATGAAATTATCAAAAATAAATTTAATTGAACTACTTCAGGGATACAGAAAGGAGAAGATAGATAATAGTCCATATTTAATCTAATAAATTAATTTTATGCTAATTTTTAAATATGCTTGTTTGAGGTGAGTAGATTGTGTAAATCACATGTGCTTAAAGGTATTTAAATCTTGCCCCTTCAAGCACTTCTTATCAAAGGCAGGCATAGTGGATGTACCTGTAATCCCATATCATTTGGAAAGTGGAAACAGCCAGGCGTTGGTAGTTAATCCCAGCACACCTTTAATTCAAGCACACCTTTAATCCCAGCACTCAAGAGGCAGAGCCAGGTGGATCTCTGTGATTTTGAGGCCAGCCTGGTCTACAGAGTGAGTTTCAGGACAGTCAGGACTATTCCACAGAGAAACTCTATCGAAGAAGAAGAAGAAGAAGAAGAAGAAGAAGAAGAAGAAGAAGAAGAAGAAGAAGAAGAGAGAAAAGAAAAGTAAAAAGAAAGAAAGAAAGAAAGAAAGAAAGAAAGAAAGAAAGAAAGAAAGAAAGAAAGAAAGAAAGAAAGAAAGAAAGAAAGAAAGAAGGAAATAGATACTGGAAGACCAGGAGTTCAGGTTCAGCCTCAGCTCCATAGCCAGTCTGAAGACAGTCTAAGCTATATAAGACCTTATCTCAAAAAATATTTGTTATCAAATGATCATAGAATGTAGATTAACAGCAGCAGTTTAATTGAGGTATTCCTATGTTTTTCGAGCCATGAAACTTGGTGTGCAAATAATACAGAATCCTCACATTTCTATTTCTGCAGCAAACTATCATTTACTCAAAACAAAACATAGTACCAAGCAATTATGTCTATTTTTTATTTATCAATATTTGCTAATCCTATGTATTAAAGTATTATAAATGAGGACATTAGAGGACATAAGTAACTGAACTCAATGACTAAACCTGCCCCTCACTGGTCCAAGGAGAGCCAGCTCCCCCTCACCAGAGAGCTGACCCTGCCCCCCCACTGACCTGGCCCATCATGGGAGTGCTGCTCCCCACACCCAAAGTTGTGAAAGCTGGTTTCACCACTCACCGTGGGTGTGGGAGAACTGGCTTCACCCATCACCTGAAGAGTGTGGTTCCAAGAGCCCTTACTGACTAACTTGGCTACCACCCAGCCCTACATCCAGGGCTGAATTGGCACTCCTCAACATCTACCTCATCTATGACCTACTGGAGCTCATGAAGGGACTGGTCCTTTGGAACTATAGCCACAGGAGCTTCATGACTCCAGGCAATTGCAGGATATCTGACAAATTTCAATGAGGGGCCAGATGCTGTACCAGAAGCCAGAGGCCTTGAACCTGACCAGCAACACACTATACAATGAATATTTGCAAGTAAAGCTCTTTGGAATATGCTGTATGATACACCACAGCTCTCGATGCCACCAATATGGATGAAGAGGTAATGGAGAAGTGGAAAAGATGGAAGAGCAAAGTGGTTTTTTTGTTGTTTTGTTTCACTTGTTTGTATTTTTGTTTGTTTTTGGTTTTGTTTGTTTAATTATTCTTATTTGTGTTTTTTTTTATTTTTATAATTTCTTTTGTTTTTTGTTTAATTAATATTCTTATTTGTATTTTTCAAATTTTATTTTCTTATCCTTATTATTTCTTTTTAAGTTATCCTTTGGGGGGATGCTACAAGGATGAAGGGTATTTGGAGGTACAGGGAAATCAGTGTGATTTGGGTGCATTATGTGAAATTCTGAAAGAATCAATAAAAAATCATGTTTAAAAAAAGAATGCACTCTAAGATCAGGAGTTAGCATAAGTTAGCATATATTACATACAAGTAGAGGAGAATAATGACCCTACCCTCTGACCTGGAAAAACTGGTCCCTAGAAGCCCTTGAGAAGCAAGAGTGAACTGGCTGCACTGGATGTTTTCTTCGCTTCCCAGTCCCATACCTTGACAACCTGGGGGATGCCCACTTTTCCTGAAAGGTCTACACTGCTACTGTCTTCCAGCACAGTATCCTTGGTCACTTCAAAGGCCTCTGTCACCACATACAGGTCCTTCATTCCCATCCGGCAGTCCTTCACAAATGATGGCTCCCGATCCAGAAGTTTCCTGAAGGTATAAAATGAGAATGAAAAAAATCCAAATGGCTAATTTCATAGAAGCAGAGACCAAATCGTGAGAGAGAGAAAAAAATCCAAAACAGAAAATGTGAGCCAGCCTTTAAGAACTAAAGAGATTGAGTCAGCTTAGGGCTGGGAATGTGGCTCAGTCTATAGAGTGATGGCCATGCAAGCACGAGGACATGAATCAGATCCCACAAGCCACATTACAGCCCGATGTGGTTATAGTTGACTACATGTTACATGTGCTTGAACTCTGCTAAGAAACTAGACAATAAATGTTCTTGTCATAGCAATGACAGTTCCTGAGCTGGCAGGATGGCTCAGCATGTAGAGGTGGTTGCTGACCTTAGTTTGATCCCCAGACACACATAGCAAAGGGAGAGATCTGACTCCTGCAGTTGTCCTCTGACTTCCACATTTGAGCCATGGCATGAGGGTGCACACACACACACACACACACACACACACACACACACACACACACACAGAAGAGAGAGAGAAAATAAGTAAATGTAATAAAAAATATTTGAAATAATGGTTACCAGATGGAGTGATACTCTATTACTGACTTATACTTATATGCATATCTGACACCAAAATGCTGCACATAAAACATGCATTTCTACTTCTAATTTATATCACAAAAGAGATGTGGTAGAAAATCATTGTAATGGATTGTCTGAACATGAGTTCCCTTCTATTTCGAAAAGTTACCTGTTTTCAAAGTCTCTGTAAATAATTGCCCAATCCATATTTGTGTTATCTCCTGATATAAATCCCCCACTGTGTTACCTTTGCTCTTTGAAAGCAATTACATATGAAGTATAGAATTTAAGAAAATTTCTAGAGAAAAGAACTTAGCAATATTTGAGTAGCAATTATGGTATGTGGCATCTTTTCACACTGTTTGCATCACAGACTATACAGAATGCTTGGTTTACAATGTCATTTGACTCCACCTTACTCTTTACAGTTGGAAAGTCTGACATTTTGGTGAACTGGAAACTTTCTCTGCTAGCATCAGCTGTCTCACTGTAGTGGTTAAATACAAACACCTGAATTCGTAACTACGTTTCTATGACACAAGCTGACAGCTCAGTGGCTAGCACTGTTTGCCTTTGCATGATACTCAGATGAGTTTAAATAGTGGTTCTATTCCTCCCTGTCTGTGTGATGGATAAATTACTTAACTTCCCTCAATCACTATTTCTCCACCTGTGTTTTGGACATGATAATGTTATAGTGGCTCATGGAAAATGAAATAAAAATATAAAGTTAAAAAAAGAGATGTGTTAGAGGTCAACTAAGTCCCAAAGTGCTGGGGTATTAAAGTGCTTGTTACAGTTTTCATCAAATTTTAATCAATATCCTTCCCATTTATTTCTATGATTCTTTCCTCACTACATGCCCATCCTCTGTACAATGAACAGAAACTTCTATCACATCAGAACCTTTGTCTGTGTGTCTTGTTTTTCTGTCTCCATCATTAATAGAACAGTAAAGGTAATACTATATTAATGAGTATTATTAGGGAACACTAAGCCATTACTTCAGTGACTTATAAAAAAAGTAGAATAATGTGAGTTGTCATAAAACCTGCTCCATGCCTCTTTGCCTATAGCAACACATCCTGAAACATTGTTGACCCATGCTTTCACCTGTTTTGAAGACTTTCCAGTTTGGAATCTGGGATGCTAGTACACTGAACCTCGATGTCATATCCACAGGACTGACCACACCCGGTTGAAACACTTCCTTCTGCAATGGTGGCATTGACACCCGTGTTAGCCTTTAGTTTCCAGGAAAGAGTGTGTTTCAGGGGGATGGGAGATGACACTTCAGGCTCTGAAGAGGAAAGGGGACAGAAGTTTAGTCAAGAAACTGTGGAAAAGCTGCGCTGGAGAATGGGAAATACAAGGCCAGTCCCCCTCCTCATTTAAACCTTAGGCAAGAAGCTAGCTCGTAATTATATGTATAATATATAATAATAATTAGTATCTGAAATATAAACTACTACAGAGGGAAAATTCCAGAACCAATGAAAGCATAGTCTTAATCATAAAAGAGAATAGCATCATTTGTGCAGTGTCTAGGAGTCCCCTAAGATCATCTTTCCAAGAACCAAATCCAGCTCCAGAGAAGCTGGCAGAAAATAAAAAATACATTGGACCTGCAGACAGACTGACCTCAGTCTGGATCCTAGTTCTACCAGTTTGAACTGTGTGACTTTGAACAAGTTGTTTTAGGAACTCCAATTACTTTTTGGTAACATGGGTATCAAGTTTCCAACTAAAGAGGCTCTTGGAAGCATTATATGACCAGATGCAACGAAAGGTCCAGAAAATGAATGGATCCCTAAAGGACCTTCCTTGTCCTTTGCCTTTAAGCAGGATGGCTCATGAGCTACCTGTCTGAACACCTCATAGGTTCTGGAAAGCTGCACCACTGAAAATACTGAGTTTTATACTTCTCTGCCCCTTGGCTGACCATACCTGGAACTGGACAATTGGGCTCTAAGATCTGCAGGAGGGAATATCCAACTGGAGTATCTTCAGATTTCCAAAACAATGACTGAGGATCTGTCTGCAGTATCTCAAACTGGCGGAACTTCTTTGCATCTGACAGACGTTTAACGGGATTCAAATCTTTTCCTTGAAGCTTTTTGACGATGTCCTTGCAAACCCAGTCAAATGAGTGGGGCATGTTGCTAGTATCAGACAGAAGGAAGTACAAAGTTTAGTTAAGAAGAGACAGAGTGTAGTTGACACTCAGTGATTCCTAATATTTTTCATAAACCACCCAAGTGTGAGAGAGCCCCCAAGTCAGCACACAGCAGAGATATACACATCCATGAACTATCCCAAATAGCAAAAATACAGACTCAGCCTAGATGCCCATCAAAAGATAAATGGAGGCAGAGGTTGGAGCAATGGCACTTAGGTTAACAGCACTGTCTGTTCTTCCAGAGGGCCCAGGTTCAATTCCCAGCACTTACATGTTGGCTCACAACCATCTGTAACTCTAGTTCCTTGGGATCCTATTACCTCTTCTGACCTCCTAAGGTACCAGGTGTACATACATGCAGGCAAAATAGCCACACACATAAAAATAAATAATTTTAAAAGATGAATGGAGAAAAATGTTGTATACATGCTTAGTTAAGTTTTATTCAGCCATGAACTATTAAATTACACCATGTACTGAATGAAGTTCAAGACTATCATGCCACATGAAATAGACTAAACGCAGAGATACAGATATTGCATGTTTCTCTCATACACACATACTACATTTTATATATATATATGTATGTATACATAAATATGTATAAGTGTATATACATGTATGTGTATATACATGTACATATAAATATATACATATATACACATAAAATACGTATGTATAAAATATTAAATCAGAATAAGGCAATTTCAGGGAGAGAGAGGTTATGGAGATGATGGGTCAGGAGAACTAGAAAAAGTAATAGGGTGAACATGAACAAAATATACACTGTGTGAAGATGTCATAAAGAAACCCATTATTTCATGTAATTTTTTTAAAATTTAAAGTAACAATAAATACCAAAAAAATAACTGTGCTAATGACTTGGATAGGCATTTCTCTAAATAAGAAATGCAATCAATTCCTTGCAGAGTGGATTAGAATCCTTCCCTGGCATGCAGAAGGGCCTGAGTTCAAGACCCAGTACCACCAAAAACAAATATAGATAACCAATAAGACTATGAAAACACAATGCCACCACTTATCATTTGAATGTTAACCAAAATCAC